AAAAAATCTGCCTAACGGCATATGCCATTATCATTTCTTATAGTTGAAACAAGGGACATCTTTGGCGTTGGATGAAACAAAACGGTGGCAACAGATGTGGCTGTTAAAAATACATTCAAAAAGTCAACTGGGTACAATAAGCCATATTGAATTGTACAGTATTACAGTCAAGAGAAGTCTTTGGAATCACTTGAAATAAACATTGTCGCTGTGTCAACAGATGTAGCCATTAAAAATACATTTAAAAAGTCCACCGATTACAATATGAAGTATCATTCATCACAATAAACACAAGGAATGACTTTTGGAGAATCGTATGAAATGAAAATATTCGCTATGTCAACAGATGTAGCTGTTTAGAGTACGTTCAAAAGCTGAAATCCCTGAGCAAGTATTTATAGATGAAAGCTTTTTTTTTTTCCACAACCACTCTGTGCACCCATTGTCTATTCACCTAAAGAGATAAACAAAACAAAAACAAAACAGGAAGAAAAAAAAAACACGAGCGGCAAGCACAGAGACCACGAGCGAACAGATGGAAAAGTGTGTCGGAGGGTCAAGCGCGCGTGTGAGTGCAATATGTATACTGCAGAGTGATTCATGTTCCTCTGCTGCCGTGTGCTATTTGTGTTTAAGTGAAAGATCCAGGTAGAGACACAAGTGAAGGAGTGAAAAAGTGAGAAAGCAACCGACTGTCAAGAGAGAAACAGATAAAGGCATTAAATAAAAAAATCTGTGTGTGTGTGTGTGTGTGTGTGTGTGTCATCCTGCACTGATCAATTAGTGCTCATCTCAGTCCCAGAGATTTGTGCCTGAGTTATTAAACACAGCTAATTCATCCGATTTCCATAATGGTTATAAATCTACAGAAGAGAGCGAGCGAGAGAGGGAGAGACACTGCATGTGTGTTTCTGTAACTGTGTGTGTTTGATTCATGGGCAGCAGGAAGTGTGTGCTGCGCCACATTTTTCTCCTTGTAATTAACAGTAAATTGTTTTTACTGCCGTGCACCATGAATATCCCCTCTGGTTAACATGACCAGTGCTGTCTCCGCTCAAGTACCCGATGACTGACTGTGTGCTTGTAGATGTGTGTGTGTGCATATGTCAGAGGCTCGCGTTGCCGTTGTTGTGAAGAGAACGCCGCTAATGATTTAATAACACCATCAGTGTGTGGCAAAACTGCTATTATCCTTTAAACAGGCAATATTTGAGCACTATCAGCATTTCTCAATTTGCAGCTTATTGGTACGATGCAATGTGCATTTTTGTTTGGAGCGGATCTTTTTTTTCTCTCTACCTGCTGGTAACGTCCGTCCTGCGCTTGGCAGACTGGTGATGCAGCCGGTTTTTGTGCAGAGTGTGACAGTGAAGTTGTACACATGGTATGGCTTCAGTCCTTTAACGATAAACACAGGCTGTGATGATGGTCCCACCCTATGCAAGACCTGGAAAACAGAGAGGTAGAGAGAGACAGAGGTATGGAATTAAAAGACAGGTAAAGAGAGGAGAGCAACAGAAAGGGGACGAAAGCATTTTCCACACAATGAAGGGAGAGTCTAACGTCAGTCAAAAGTAGGATGAGCTAATCCAACAGCATTAACCTCCCAAAAAACAATCCTCTGTGCATTTATAGTCTTTCTACCTTGACTTCTAGCCACTGTCAAAATTTTAACCGAACTGAAGGCAGGGTAAGTAAGTAAGTTTTCAGTTGCCTTACTTATCAGTTCCAGTTGCAGGTGTTTGTGTGCAATTACCTGATTTACGAGTGGAGGAGCGTAGGGGTTGTTGGTCTGTTCGGTGAGCAAGTTGACCCGATATTCTGTGACTTGTCCTCTGGCGATGACCCCTTGACCCTCAGCAGTGCGCCACGTAACTTTGATACTAGTCGAGGACAGTGCAGACACTTGTGGAGGAGCCATGAACTCTGGGACTGGAAACGTGGACACAAACATGGACACATGAAACAATAGGTACAGCATTTCATTATAACTAATCACCAACAAGTCATGTATGCATAGTGGCTGAATAAACCCCAATGTGGATATGAAGTAATAAGCAACACAATTGGATGCTGTAGTGAACTGTCATAAATATTGGAACGTAGGACTAACATTTTGAGACTACTGTACAGCAAAAGGGATAGACAGTGTTGAAAAGAACTAGCCAGCAGGAACAGTTACTAACTAATGCTAATGACGATGTGTTATTCCACACAGAGCAGACTGTCACACTGAACCAGATAGCATGAAAAGCTCTGAACAAACCACATCCTGCTAAAGTCTTCTTCTTATCTAACTTAGAAACTTGTGCCACGCCTCTGCTTGGTGTTGGACGAGCCCCCCAAACACACCATCACCAGGGAAAAGTGTACCGCTAACGTCAGTTTGCAGGGTAATAGCTGATCAGCTGTGAAGCTGCAGCACATTAAACAGCACATAAGTGTACTTGTCACTTTAGTCCAGTTAATGTTAGGCGCTGTCGTGGTCGACATTCTGCAATACCACATTCTGTCTGGGTATAACATGCAGGAACGGACACAGCAAGTTTGTTTACGTCTTTCTCAGTCTGTCTGTTGTCGTGTTTTGGGAGCATCAGTTACAGCCCAAGTACTATTCAAATAACAAATAATCCTCTCGTCCTCTGGAGTCCAGACTCACACCTTGATGTGCCAA